CATATTCCCGTTCCTGTTTTTTCATTCGTAGTTCGACATTGTATAAAAGTTTGACTAAATTTAAATTTACGTTTTATAATATTATTTCTAAGGGTAACACTTCCAATATTTTTTTTTTCTATTTTCAAAGCTTGAACGCGAGACTTTCCAATTAAGAGTCGAAGAGTATCCCACTTATTCCACCATAACCCACATCGTTTCTTTGTTAAATACTTATTCTAGTTTCCTATGCCTTACTTTAATTCTTATAGAAACGATGTTGAACTCATCCCAAAATAAGCTAATAAGCTTTGACCGAACAATCAAATATATAGCTAGCCCAATAACTTATTACAGTGACGGTACGAATTTATAATGTTAGAAGTCTTTTGAACGCAATTTTTTTTATAAAAAACATTGTTTGATTATATTTTTTTTTTTCATTGTTTGATTATATATTGAACTGATTCTTAAGTTAGTTTTTTAAGGTAAATCTTTTAAGTTCGAGAAACTGGTTCAATATCAATTTTTCTAGTATAAAATCTTTTACTACATACAAAACTCTTATTTTCACAAAAATGAAACACTATCCAAATATTACTTTATAACTTTCAAATATTATTTTCTTAACGTAACTACAAAAATTCTTCTTCTATCTCCTACCCCGAATGCCCTTCCCCTCCTTCAAATTTGACCGTATTAGTTATAGGGTACAATAAAATAAATAATTTATTATACTAAAAATTTATTATACTAAATTATTATATGAACAATATCATCTAAAAAGTTTTTAAAAATTGCTAACACGTATCAATCTTTATTTTGTTCTATTTACGCCAAGCCTGAACTTTAATTGATTTATTTTATTTTAATCATCGAAGTGTTTCAATTCTCAAAAGTAATTTTTCTTAACCTATGCAATGATTTGTTTTTAGGTTGTTCTTAATGAAGGTACTAGAAACTAAAGGAGCTTTAATAAAGGGAAAAAGGAGAAATATATCTCGAACTATCGTAAATGGTATGTAAATATCCTCCGTCATACTTTTGGGACATTGGTGCCCCTGCCGTCCAAAAACTAGAGCATATATGCCCTTCATTCTAACGGAAGACTAAATAGGGACACATGGCGCAATTTTATCCGTCGATAAATGTCGGATCGGTGGATAAGATAATGACACGTGTATGTCCGTTAGTATAAAGGTATATGCTCTAGTTTTGGACGGCAGGGGCACCAATGTCCCAAAAGTATGACGAAGGGTATTTGCATACCATTTACGATAGTTCAGGGGTATATTTATCCTTTTTCCCTTTAATAAATGATTCTTTTTTTCCCAAAGTGAGTCACAGTAACTAATTAATTTTACTATGTTGATTTGAATTTGAAAGTGAAAAATATTTTACATTTGGCATAATATATATTTTTTTCCTTTAATTTTGTTTCATTTCACATTTATGCACTTCAACTTTGAGTGTGCACAAGTAGATACTTGAACTTATATAAAGTTGAACAAGTAGACATGTAAGTTCTATGTGACATAATACACGTCGGACGCGTAGGACACAAATTGTCATGTAGGATGTCAGATGCCATGAATGACGGATGTGTTTATTTGCTCAACTTCATGCAAGTTTAAGTATCTATGCACACCCAAAATTGAAGATTATAATGTCAGTTGAGGACATATTTATGTATTATGCCAAAAATAAAATATTCTTAACTTTCAAGCTCAAATCAAATAAGTATTGTCCAAATATCTAAATCGACAACAAAAAAAAAAACATTTCTTCCCTTCTTAAATACCATTTGATGTTAGCTGAGACCATAAGGGACAAGAATGAAAATAGTGGAGTGGTTAAAAGAAGAAATAAAGCATAAGTTGAAATCATGTCACTCCTCCCAAAAATCTTTTTTCATCATCTTTCACTTTTCTATACTTAGTCCCTAAGACTTCTCTTCTTCATCTTCTAATCTTCTTTTCACAGTCTACAACACAAGATCCAAAACTCAAGTTCCTTACTTTCAATGGATCAAGATTCAGTTCCTTACATCTCCAAAAAACAGAAACCAAACCATGCAGACTACCCTCGTAAGTTTTACAACATTTTTCCCTTTAAAACTATGCTACTTATCATATTTCTAGTTGCACTTCCACTTTTTCCTTTACAAGCTCCTGAAATCATCACCCAAACAGGAAATTGGGAACTTGTTCAGCTTATTTTAGTTGGTATAGCTGTTTCTTATGGCTTATTCAGTAGAAAAACCGGTAATGATAATGATGACAATAACGAGATGATGATGAGACAGAAAATGAATATTTATATAGTTCAAAGTTTGATAATGTTCAATCTAAATTACTTGATGTTTCATCTTTTTTTGAAACCATCAAGATGAAACAGAGTGAATAATTATCAATATTGTAGTGGTAAGCCAGTAGTTGTTGTTGCTAAGGAAAATGATGCTATTATTAGTTCAAGTTTTGTTGAAAAGCCTTTGCTTTTGCCAATTAGAAGTTTAAAATCCCCTGTTCTTGAGCCTATCTCAACTACTACTAATTCACCAAAATCCGTGACTTCATCTCCAAGAAAGATTGATCACAAAATTGTGAGGAAACAGAGTTTTAATAAATCCTCTGTTTCACATCCATCACCACCACCTCCTCTGCCATCGCCATCGATTGTTAAAAAAATCTACTCTGTTGAGATCAAGCTCTATAGTAATGGATGATCATAAAGGTTCTTTTGGTAAGGAACTGAGGAGAAGTACTAAGAGTGTTCCATTTGAATTGAGCTCGTATAAAGGGAAGTCTGTTCGAACAATTAGGCCGTTCATTGGGGCTGCAAGAGCCAGAGTATATGCTAAAGATTTCATGAATGGGAAAGCAGAGGATGAAAGAAACAAAAAAGTTGATACACAGATGCAAGTGTTACAGCCAGCATTGATGGATTTTTCAGGGGAAGAGAAGAAAACGTCGATTTTTGAAAATGTAGTAGCGGAAAGTGATGAGGATTCAGACGATTATATTGAAGAGAGCTCGGAAAATGTAGACGAAGAAAGAAAATGTGTTGTTGATGGTAGTCCAGATAATGTAGACAAGAAGGCTGATGAGTTCATAGCTAAATTTAGGGAGCAAATTAGGCTTCAGAGAATTCAGTCCATTCGTACATCGGCTAAACAGCCTGCTAAAAAGCTAATCCAGTAAAAATATTCTTGTTCAAAACTGAGATGATACTATTAATTGATCACTTGCTGTGAAGAGTCTCACATCGCGTTTTTAATATGGGCTTGGGCAATCATCGCAACTAGCTTTTAGGTTTGAGTTAGGGTCAAGTCGTATATTTACTTGCCATTTGAAAAAGTCTTATGGTTTAGCTAGATATCACTTGGCACTACTGAAGTTGTCTTGTCCTTCTTTTTTTTCAGTTTGTATTTGAAGATTTGAGGTTTTTGGTAAAGATATTCTAGTATTGTAGTTATATAATTAGTCATCTATGTCTGTGCCAGTGGTTGATTTAGTACCATGAGGCTCATTGTGGTTATAGAAAAGAAAATCTTTTGGTTTTATGTTGATTATTAACATGGTATTGTAATTCTGTTCTTCCAAAATATGTCTGATGTTCAGAGAATTAATTCTTCATTTATGATCAGTTAATCACTATGCCTTCCTATATCAGTTAAACTATTTTATGATGGTTGTTCAGAAATAAGTGAGAAATTTACAAGAATTGGCTTTAAGGCCAAGTATACATAGTGTCCCATAATGTTAGTACCTAACACTAGGGGTGCCAAAAGAATGAAAATTCGATTCAACTGACCCGACTTAACCGTATCGAATTGATTTATATCATTTTGCAATAAGATTGTGGACTTTTATTTAAGTGTATAATCGTCCCGAATAATTGGGATAAACTTTTTAATTTTAAAAAAAAAAACATGAAAAATTTTCGAACCAAACCGAATAAACTAGGTCTTAGGTCTCTGGTGACTGGACGATTTTGGAGGTTTGTTTTTTGTTAGCCTTTAATTAATTAGGTTTAAAATTAAAAGATTATAATAAATATTCCATCAAACAATACGGAAAAATCCTATTAAAAGTTTAAGATCAAACAACATGACAACAAGGTTTTACCCTTAATAAAATGAGTTATAACCACACAAATATATATCACTTATTTTAGACCATAAATTTTAAAATCCTTTCTTTTTTATCTTAAAAGTCATGTCAAATCAAACTAACTAGTTTAAAATCAAACGGAGGGAAGCCGTAAACTCTGCATATTTACCAATGTGCATGATTGCGATTTCCTAGAACAAAAGCCCAATAAGTTCGACATTGGGCCGGATATCCATCTCCTTATTGAACTATTTAAGTCTACCTATTTGAACTTCGGACAACTCTGTAGTGAGAGCGTCGGAAAATATTTTTCTTTATACCAAACACACCCAGACTATCTTGACTATTATTGCATGCTCTCTCCCATTTCATATATTGGACTAGGACTTGCCTAACTTATATTATTTCGTTAATTTGAAATAAGTAATGAAATTGAATTTATCCAGTTTTGAGAAATTTATTATGTTTAATTCAAGCAAAAATCCCGCAAAATAAGGAACTAAATTCCAATAACATTAGGATACAATGGTACCAGGTTGTAATTTGTTTGTTTAAAAGTTCCCTTAATATATATAAGTACTAGTCTTTAAGAAGGTACAATTAATCATATTAAATCAAGAAACAATTATTGAACAAACTTTCCAAAATTACTGTTAAGAGGCAGACATTCAACTACTATAAAGTGATTTGGAGTTTACATAAAAAAAAAAAACACTCTTTCTCCAGTCCCCACAAATAATGATGGGAAAGAAAGAAGGAACTAACTACAAAATTAAGTAAAATGGACTTACAACCCTAATTAGTCACTAAAACTAAAAATTGGAGGGACAACAAATAAAAGCAAGAGATTTTCTAGACCCCTCATAACCCCAACAACCTTATCTTATAACAAAACATTATATTCCTCCTACACACATTATGGTACTTAATATTCACATTTTGTCATTGTCACTACTTTTGTCTTGCAAATGTAGGATAAGTGTCCATTTGACCATAATGCCCTTGTGAGATGGGTGTGGAGGATGGGCCCCACATGTTTAAGGGCATAGGTTGGTGATGCTGATGAGGTGGACCAACGCGATGAGGCGGGATGTTGACAGGTGTATTTGTGGGTCCCGTCGCGACATGCTCACATGAAGGGCACATGGTGAGGGTGGTGGGAGGGGTCATTTGCATGTAGAATTGAGGTGAATGCTTTAGTGACCTTAACTCTTGAACTTCCTTTTGTAACCTCCTGTTTTCATCTGTCAGATTCTCAACGCATCTCTTTAAGAATTCGCAGTCTACTTCTGTTTGCTTCAATTTTGTCCTGTATGTCCATAACAAACTATATTCAGCACTATTAATGTAGCTAAATAGTAGATTTCAAAAGATGTTATATAAGTGTGGGGAATTTCATTTTTCAAACGAGCACTCAACTAATCTTAATAAATATAATTTGAGAAATTAACTCAAATTAGCATGACAATAATGTTTTCTTGTTTAAGTGGAGTTGGAATGTTCACATTTCTCATTAATTATTTGGTACAACAACAAGTCAACCACATACTCGATACAGGTAATCTCACAAGTGAGATCCGACAATTATAAAGTGAGTGCACACATACTTTATACCTATACCTATCGAGAGGGAAGAGATTGTTTCCATTTCTCATTATTAAGTCCATGATTTGGTTTTCACATTTAATATGCTGTTCAATCTTTTGCTTCATTATTATTCCTATGATTGTCTATATTAATTTTGCTTATATATTGCAGATATAATTAAAACGTTTTAATTAATTAGAGACAAAAATCTCACCTAGCTCTCCTATTCTGGAACCACACTTCCACTTGCCTAGGCCTTAATCCCAGTCTCTTTGCCAATGCCAATTTTTGTTTCTGCACAAAAACAAAAAATCATCATCAATACTTGTAAAATTAATTTGAATTTCCGAAAATGCCCTTGAAAACGTCATTTCTTCTAATATATAGTATATATTTGAGTTATAAACAATATTTACCCATTAAATAACATTAATTAGAAACTTACAGGATTGAGGGTATGATGGTCTTTGAAGCTATCTTCAAGTACAGCGGACTGTTCCTTTGTTAAACGGAGTTTTTTTCTACAAGTTTCTCCGTCTTCCTCATCGCTAATACCTCGAGAGCTAGCCCTTTCCATTTCATTCTCCTCAGTACAGTTCCCTTCTCTTTCACTTCGCTTATTTCCACTCAAACTTGAAATAGTGCTGTTCGGAGACGATACGCCGCCTTCCTCCTCCTCCGCCGTCGCCGGCATCCTGTTCACGTCGATTCCCTTCAGGAAACTCCTCGTCTCCACTAATCTGCATGCCTCCGTGTTCAGATCTGCAGAAAAAATCGACTCATTTTTTAGATCAACATAATAAAAGTACAGACTCAGAGAATTTAAAATTAATTAACAAACCTGATGAGGAATGAGAAAATGGAGGATGAGTAGTCCAATAATTATTATTGAAGGCAGAAGAAGGGGATATTATTGTTGAAGGAATGAGATTTATGGTGGTTGTTCTCTTTTCTGCAGAAAAACTTAGGCTGAGACTCAACCCCAGATCTTCTTTTCCCATCATCATTTTAATTACTAATTTCTCTATGTATAACTGTTTCTCAAACAAGATTTTTTCAGTTTTTTTCTTCTGGTAAGATGTGAGAATTAAATTGGACTTTGCAATCTGAAGAGTGATGGTGTAATGAAGGGGTTATATATAGGAGAATGCACTGCTTTTAAAAAAATATATATTGATAAATAAAAATACTTTCGATATTTTAGGACAGGGGAAATAATTTTTTATACTCCTAATAATTGTCATGTTATATTCCTCAATAGTCAAATTATACTTGGCTACATCTTAATTTAATTTATTTGGTGCCATTTAGATGCAAAGAAGTACGATATTTTTTAATTTAAAAATAATTTAATTTTACTTGATACAAAAGGTTAAGAAATAAAGAAGACTACAATAAAATTATGTTATCAAAATATCTTTTTAATTTTATATCTTATAATATGTAACCTAAAAAAATGAAACTAAAATATTATCAAAAAAATAAGAAAAATATCTTTTTTGAAAAAGATTAAAAAAATAGGTCATTGGTTTAAAAAAATGAATAATAAATTGATTCTTACGCAGTTGCGAAAGTGGTCAATCATGAGTAAGAGTGTTTGCAGAGTACCAATTATTATCACAAATAATAGCTTTTACCATATAAATTATTACTAGTATATGATAATTAATTAATTTTTTTATTGTCATTTGTTATCGATATAGATCGATTCTTTATTACTTCTCTCCATTTTAATTGTTCACAATTTTACACGTTTTTTTAAATTCAATGTTTTGAAAAATATATTAAAAATAAATAGGAAGTTAGTAACAAAAAATAATGGTTTATTTTAATATAATAAATAAATAAAAATAAATCAAGGGAATACATACTAAAACAAAAACAAAAAAAGGTGCCTTTCGTACGTCAATATCTTTCATGTAAAAGGAATTTATTTCTCAACCTCGTATAGTGCTGCTTTCACTTTGTTTTTTTATTCTTTTTCACTTTAACTTGTTCTTATTATTGTGTAAAGCAAACAGAAAGAAATTGGTCTTTTTGTTGATCAGAGTGATTAAAATCTTTCACAATATATAATCTTGTGGTATAAGATTTGAATTGATCGATAGAATCTTGTATTAATGAGTCTTTGATTGAGACTTTCTACGTATGTCTCATATGTAATCACATAGAGATTATTATCCACGCAATACTAATAACAATTTACAACTTATATATATATACCTTGATATAGTATTGTAGACAATTAAATTCGCGTCGAGAAAACAATAATCAAGAACGAAAAATTATAGCAACAATCGTATTTATTATTTCAAAGTGCGAGTGTTACAATATCTATGATCCCTCTGAATTCGCCTTTTCAAATATGATTCAAGGGCTTTAAAGCTTGTTCTTGAATCTTTGATGAATTTGAACTTTGAATATCTTGATCTTGACTTTTGCTTGAATTCAAGGGCTTCGAGCTTGTTCTTGAACCTAATAGTCTTGATCTTGATCGTTCTTGAACTTGAATGCTTGAATCCTTAAACTTGTAGCTTTATAGAGAATTTTATGGCGTTTGTACCACGGATTTTCTCTAGCTTCTTGTTTAGAATTTTGTGTCTTCTTTTTGAATTATGAAGACCCCTATTTATAGTTTTAGAATAGAAGAGTTGTGATTGGAACAGGATTCCCTTCGGCCAATCAGATTTAAGTGACATGACATATGGGCTTTATGGAGCGGGCTTGTCATCTTTGACACACGTCATGATCCTATTGGCTTCTTGTTTGACTTGGCATGCCACTTCATTTGCCCACGTGGCACCAAAAAATGGGCCTCTAGGAAAATATGACATTGGACTTAGCAAATTGGGCTCAATCTACTGTAGCCCAAATCAATTAATTTTGACTTTAATTAAATCCATATTTATTGGACTTGAATAATTAACCCAATTATATTAATCAATAATTTATTTGGACTAATATATTTATGAATTTAATATAATTCGAATCATTTTATAAATTTATATTTAATAAATTTTAAATGATTACAAATGCCCCCTGCTTGAAGTCTTGTCGAGATATTTTATCTTTTAAAGACTAGGCTTGAAGCATTAACCGGTTACTAAATTTATCTTGAGTCAAATAAAATAAACTAATCCATGCAATTTATTTATTTAACATTTCACCGATTGCTTGGAAGATTTCAATCAATATTAAAAGTATATATATACATATTATACTGCCAAAACTTTAGGCATATACTTCAGATGGTCTTTTGGACGGACGGAGCTAATATAAGGGCCCACATTTTAATTTTCCTTTATTTTTTTTTTAATATAGGATTAATTGTGATAGAGCCACCGTTTCATATCTTCAAATTTGTCAAGGATTAGGCAACAAATTATTTCAACGCCACCAACCTTTCCTAGTTTTATTCGAAGTGACCAATCGCCTTAGTTAAAAAAATGAATTATAATTGAACTAGGAATTATAATCCTATTCAATTTCATACTCATATATATATTTTATTATCTTTGTCAAAAAAAGAATTGTAATTGAACTAGGAATTGTAATCCTACTCAATTTCAATATTTATATACATGTTTTATTGCCCTAGCCAAAAAGGAATTGTAACTAAACTAGGAGAATGATGTTATTCCCACCATATGACATCTATAAATAGACACATTATCTCCACAATTTTATCTTCAATTACAGATTGTGAGCTACGAGCCTATGACGAAAGAGGCATAATTCGAGGTAATCTCCCTCTCTTTTTCTGATTTTCGTCACTTTTTCTACAGCTTGACATGTCTGTCGTAGAAAATTCATATCTCATTGTAGAAAAATCAAAATCATGAACGGTTTGATTTTCTAGAAACTAGACTTCTCGATCTCTAACATATCCAAAATTCAGAATTTAATACCTTCAGAATCTTTTCAGATGATATTTTGAAGTTAGCTCTAGATTTTGTCATGCTAAAAATTTCAGAGTTGTGCACCTTTACTAAAACTCTGATGTCTTGATGTAGGAACGACGAAATCACAAGCAGCTTGATTATTTCGAATCTAGACACAAAGGTCTACAATATATCCAAAATTCAAGATTTAATACCTTCAGAATCTTTCTAGATGATTTATTTTTTTTGAAGTTAACTTTAATTTCTGTCATGCTGAAAATTTCAGACTTGGGGCTTTACTAGAATACTGTGTTTAACGTCCCCGCCTTGAAAAAAAATACTACTCTCAAGGCGTTACAAGGTCCCGAATACTTAACCAAGCTTGAGGCTTTACTAGAATACTGTGTTTAACGTCCCCGCCTTGAAAAAAAAATACTACTCTCAAGGCGTTACAAGGTCCCGAATACTTAAACAACTTGAGGCTTTACTAGAATACTGTGTTTAACGTCCCCGCCTTGAAAAAAAATACTACTCTCAAGGCGTTACCATGTCCCGAATACTTAACCAACTTGAGGCTTTACTAAAAAAACTGTGTTTAACGTCCCCGCCTTGAAAAAAAATACTACTCTCAAGGCGTTACCATGTCCCAAATACTTAACCATAAGGTGCGAAGGGATGTGTTTAACGTCCCCGCATTGAAGATCACTTACTTGAGGCTTTATAAGATCTTTTTAAGGATAAATCCGCAAAAAGGCCAGCTTAAGGTGCAAAGGGACAAATTTTGTCCACCTTAAGGCATGGAAATTTAAAGATCCTTTTAAGGATAAACCCGGAGAAAGGCCAGCTTAAGGTGCAAAGGGACAAATCTTGTCCACCTTAAGGCACGGCAGTTTTTTTTGTTACTCCTGGCCCGCAAGAATATAAACTGTGCACGGCATACCAAAAATAATCCATCTAAGGATAAATTCGTGAAGAGGCCAGCTTAAGGTGCAAAGGGATAAATCTCGTCCACCTTAAGGCATAGAAATTTAATGATCCATTCAAGGATAAATAACTTAAGGTGCAAGAAAAATTTGTCCATCTTAAGGCATGGAAATTCAAAGATCCACTTAAGGATAAATCCGCGAAAAGGCTAGCTTAAGGTGCAAAGGGACAAATTTGTCCACCTTACGGCATGGAAATTCAACGACGTGCACATTTGGAGGATTTGGAGACTTCTACTTACATACTTGAAGTCCTACTTGCACACTTAGAGGATTCGAATACTTGAACTTGTATACTTAGAGGATTCAAATACTTCAACTTGTAAACTCGAAGAATATAAAGACTTCAACTTGCATACTTGGCTAAATGGAAAGAAACTTCAACCATGTTGTTAAAGAAACTCATATTTTATAAGGGTTTGCCATCATCTATTGACCAATCAATACTTCGTACAAGTCTAAAGTATGATGAGATAAAAGATAAAACTGAATACTTATTGCTTTGACTGACATGTGACAGATCAAGTGGGAACATGTGGTTTGTTGACACTTATGCAACTGAACTTAGGATATATTCTAAGCGCCTACGTACCTCAGTAAAGAGGATCAAGTCACAACGTAGTTCTGGGGGATTGAGTGATTTTTTTTTCTATTTTTTTTTTGGTTGTGCCGTACACAGTTTATACTCTTGCGGGCCAGGACACTTATGCAACTGAACTTAGGATATATTCTAAGCGCCTACGTACCTCAGTAAATCCCTTTAAAACTCTTACCAAAATACTTAATCGAGGGCACATAAGAGGTGTATCTCATCTGATCCTTTCGTATTGGGGAAATGTTCTCTCAATGCTCTTACGCCTTTTGAATTTATAGATGGATTCACATCGTGCCTTTTTAAAATAACAAAATATGGAGCAAGTAGGAATAATTACAGAGTAAATTTCTTAGATGATTACATAATTAATAGTTAGAATATTACTCTCTTCGTCTATTTTTACTAGTCCACAATACTAAAAATAATTGCCTAACAATGCTTGTCCAGTTTTAAAAATCAAGAGATAATTTACCCTATCGTATCTATTTTACCCTTGTTAATAAATAATATTCAATATTTAGTGCATTTTTTTTTCAAAGCATTAAATTTAATATATTCAAAGGGCAATGTAGTAATATTAATCCTATTATTTTTTTAAAAAAATATGAGAAGTGCTAAATGACCAGAAAATTT